CTACTGAAGTACTTCCACTGTGGGCAGTCTACAATGAATTCTTATGAAGGAGAAGTTCTGGGTGTTTAGTGTAATTCTGGAGTTGCCAATGCTCTCAACAGGAATACTTGTCGGCCTAACAAGCTGAGTATAAACAGTTATGTGAGGGGTGATGCATCGGCACAATTTCCTCTTCCTCATGTGCTTAGAGCATCTCCAACCGCGCCCCCAACAAGGACCCCCTGGCCCTTTTTTATCGTCGGCGCTGAAAAAACGGCTCAGCCGCGTCCCCAGAAGCTTAATTTTTGTCGGTTAGGCCCGAAACTGGCGCCGCCGGACCCAGGCTGAACCCGGCGTGCTGGGACGCCCGGTGGCGCCGGGGAAGCATTTTTGGCGCGAAAGAAAGGCGGGCCCGCCGAGTCAGCGACCCCGGTGCATCGTTGTCCTCATCGCCTCGGTTCCCACGGGAATCAATGCGAAGACTGCCGCGCTGCCGCGCCGGTCAGCCTCCATTGATGTCTCACGAGCGGCGCAATGAAGGCGCGACGACGTGCGTCCCACCCGAGCACGCCACGCGTACACACGTCGGCCGCCCTCCCACCGCCCAAGCCCGGCTATAAAAGACGCCCCTCCCTCGCCGGGGAGCACACATTCCATTTGCCACAGAAACTCTCTCCCCTTCTTGGCGTCGAAGCCCCTCTCGACCGAACTCGCCTCTCCTCTCCATCTCTCCCCGCCGACGAGCATGGCCGAGCGTTACCCAGGCGACAGTGTGGCGGCCAACGGCTTCGGCCGCCGTCACCTGCACGAGGACGAGGCTCGGCTCCTCTATGAGGCCGACTACCCGGCACCGCCGGACATGCGGGTGTCGGGCACGTGGAAGCTGAGTGTCGGCAGAGCCCCGGTGCCACCGCCGCCTACTGGTGCTGCCCGCGCACGACGAGATAGCGTGCATCCGGTCCTCGCTGCCGGAGCAGTCGCCGAACGAGCCGAGGTACGCCCCCGACAGCAGCACGCTGTGGACGGCGTACTTCGAAAGCTGCCACGCTGACCAGCTCGCCTCCTCGAACGGCGTCGATCCCCGCGCCCGCCACAACTCCGAGGGGCGACGTCGATGATGGGGCGTCCCCGGCCGCACCCTCGAAGTCGTCCTCGAACACATCGAGGCCGGCAACACACCGCGCTTAGAGTACCCGGCAACCCTCACCTTCTCGTGCCGTCGCGACAGCTCCTGGACGTCGCGGCGAATGAAGACGGCGACCTCCTCGTCGTTGGGCCCTGGATCCCTTTCCTCTAGAATGTCGGCGCTCTGTCCCGTCAAGCCGAAGCTACAGGAGACGCCGCTCGGGCGCCGCACCCGCGGCGGCGCCCTCGTCATCCACGAGAGCGGCCACCCCTCTCCTTCTTCTTACCGTCTCGTCAGGCCGAAGACCGAGCCGGGGTTGCTCCCCGTGAAGAAGGAGCACGCGACATGCCCGCAAACGACGAGACCGCCCTCAAATGGGCGAAGGAGGACTACGTCCGCGAGCAAGTGGTGCGACAGCGCCGCGCCCTCGAGGAGATCACCGCTCGGCGCCACGGACGCGGGGAGGGCGGCATTGTCATCCTCCACAGCGACGACGAGGAAGCGCCCGGGCCATCCAACCCCCCACGCATCAGCGACGCTGGCCAGGAGTGCAATGGGGACGGTGGCGGCACGCAGGACGACGGCGACGATGATGACGACGACGGCGGCGACTATATCCGGTTCTACAGGCTCCTCGGTATGTAGAAGGTGGGCAGCGGCAGCGTAGTAGTGCTAGGCATAGTAGTCGTTTTTAGTGAGTTCTAAATTTATGTTTTTAGTTTTTGCATAAATTTCAATGAAATCGTCTAGTTTAGACGATTTTGTGTCGTGTTTGGCCGAATTTTGACCGATTTTCTTTTTCGAAAAAGGCGTCTGAGGGGTCTTGGGGTTGGCGGCTGGAAAACAAACCACCCCATACCGAATTTATCACCGGTTGGCCGCGCTATTTTAAGCCCCTAGTGGGCCAAACGGCTGGAGATGCTCTTAGTGTCACTGTATATATCCTCACAAGAACTAATCGAATACTTCTTTTTTCCCCGAGGGGAAGTGACCGAATACTTGGAGTGGAACTATACATGAAGACACAACTGTCAAATATCAGTGCCGTTGGGGAACTAAAAAGAATCTTTTAAAAAAATTAGTCCGGTTGGGTCTACACATATCAATACCATCCTGTCTCTGAAAATAAAAATATCAGTGGCATCCTGGCCTACAGAATTATTTGGTCGGATTGTTTTTTCCAAGCTTGGACGTGTAAGTTTAAATCCAAACAAAGAGTCGCTTTCTGCTCGCAAACAATGGGAATATTAAATAGAATGGACCTTGTAATTAGTAGCTCTGTCTCGTCGCATGCGGGACCTGGCTCCAAACTGACGAAATCATTTCATCATGCCATGGCCCGTGAGCGCGCTAGCTCTCTCTCCCTCTCTGCGGAGGGAGTATTTGATAATTTCCTATTTTGTTAGTAGGTAATTGTCAAAGTACTCACTCCGTCTCGAAATGTTTGTCGGAGAAATTGATGTATCTATATATATTTTAGTTTTAAATACACTCATTTTTATCTATTTCTGCGACAAGTAATTTCGGGCGAAGGGAGTACGTGATATTTACCAGGTGACAACACTACTCCCTCCCTTCATAAATATTAGATGTTTTGAATATTTCAATATAGACTACATGCAGAATGAATGAGTAAACAAACACACTCAAATGTGTTTATATACATTTGATTCAAAAAAAATAAATATCTTATACTCGTATTTCTGAACGAAGGGAGTACTACCTAGGTAGTACTATTAAACTATTGTAACATCAAGATTGAGGCCATCCTTGAGTGCTTCCCGGCTACTCGCGTTGCCTTCCCGCTGAGATATCTTGGGCTGCCTCTTTCGGTCCATCGTTTGCGGAAGGTCGATCTCCAACACCTCCTGGACAAGGCTGCCGGGAAGCTGGTGCCTTGGCAGGGTCGGCTCATCACGACTGTGGGAAGGGCTGAGCTCGTCAAGTCCGTGCTTTCCTCCCTGGCCACCTTCCATGCCACGACGCTCAAACTTCCGGAGGGTACTATCTCCGACTTTGTGGGCATTGAGAGAGCTTTCCTCTGGACCGATTCGGATAAGGTCTCCGGCGGCCAATGCAAAGTCAGCTGGAAACTCGTGTGTAGACCAAAGAGGCTTGGTGGGCTGGGTATCCTTGATATTCGTATGTATGCCCGGGCTCTGAGGCTGCGATGGCTTTGGTATGAGTGGAAGGAGCCGCACAGGGCATGGGTGGGCATCGGAAACCCATGCGACATCACTGACAGAGATCTATTCTATGCTGCCACGACGATCTATGTCGGCGACGGTAGGCTGGCACGCTTCTGGCTCTCCCCCTGGCTAGATGGAATGAAGCCCAAGGGCATTGCACCGGCCATTTTCGTGATCTCTGCCAACAAGAACAAGTCTGTGCGAGAAGCCTTGCTTGAAAACCATTGGATACAATGGATCAATATGTCCGGAGGTCTCTCGGTGGAGCACATTGAATAGTTCTGTGCCCTTTGTGGGAAGCTCACTACGATACACCTACAGGACGACATACCCGATGATATCAAGTGGAACCTCACCGCCGATGGTATCTATTCCTCGGCCTCGGCCTATAGGGCCCAATTCGAAGGTGTGATCGCCTCCAACATGACCACGGTGGTATGGAAGAACTGGGCACCGTCCAAGTGCAAGTTCTTTGCGTGGTTAGTTATCAAGGATAGAATTTGGACGGCCGACAGACTGCAAAGAAGAGGGTGGCCCAACTGCATTTTGTGTCAACTTTGTAAGAGGGAGCCAGAGACCGCAGCTCATCTTCTCTTCCAATGCAGGTTCTCTGCCCGCATTTGGAATGCAATAAGAGTTTGGGTGGATGCCCCCGAACTGGATGTGGCGGCCTGGAGCGGGATCCCCACGGTCAAAGAGTGGTGGTCGGCAGTGGTCCTTAGGCGTGGACATAGGAGGAAGGCGATTTCATCACTCATCATGCTTGTTACTTGGGAAGTGTGGAAAGAGAGAAACGCGAGGGTGTTCCAGCATGTATGTAGGTTGCCAAGCGTGTTGGTCGAGGCTATTAAAGCGGAGGCGAGGCTCTGGATTATATCAGGGGCGAAGCATTTGGGTTCTTTGATGCCGCGAGAGTAGAATTGTATTTTATTTATATTTGTGTGAGGTGTAATGGCCCTCTGCAGACTTTGTTATTCCCCTTCTTTTTAATGAGATGAGGCAAAGCTTTTGCCTCCGTTTCAAAAAAAAAAAAAACTATTGTAACATGGTGTTATCCTGATAATTGCAGTAGACTAATAGCACTATAAGGCTGTGCCCATCCACAACAATCCAACAAACGACCACAAAATTCCGTCTACAATTATGGACCTTGAGTTGTGGCCGGTAAACCTTCCTCCTTTCCCCTCCCCCTTCCCCTAGGCCCCCTTCTTCTCGATTTCTCGCGCGCCTGTTTATCCTCCAGCTTACAAGTTACTACAGACCCGCAAGCACAATTCCCCCCTAGCTTTCACTCTTGGATTCAAATACCAGCAGAGCTGCTTGCTAGTCGATCGATATCAAGCATGCATGTACTACATGTGCTTATTAATCACCCTGTCGATTCCTTCTAGCTAGTTGCATAGAATAGTGCTGTTAGATCTCGATCCTGTTTCATGGTACATACATGGAACACAAATTTTAATTTCCCTGCCCTTTCTTCCAGCTCCAGATGGTTTCTAGCCAGCTAGCTAAATACAAATCCCTTGACTGAAATATTCCCTGTACGTACGTACTTGATGAATCAATCAAACTCTCTCCATTCTCCGTCTCCCTTGGTTTCCCCTTTGATCCGCGTTCCCAAAGTTCTATTGGCATAGGATAGGAAAGCACGTGTAGCTGTAGGTTGTATCTCCGATTCGGGCGAGCGAGTGCACGGCCCTCTATATATGCCTTGTACAAGCACCAAATCCGCTCCTCAAACTGCTGGACGTGTACTAGCTCTGCCTCTTTGCTCTTTTCTAATCATCGCGGCAGCGTCGCAAATTTGTTGCCTTCCATTCCACCCACCTCGCGACCCCCCCTACATGATGCAGTTCACCCATGCTGCAGTGACTGCACCGCCTCTCTACCCTAATGGACACCACGGGCTAGGGCTAGGGCTCTTTCTTGACGTCGGCGCGCCGAGGGCACGCCCGTGGCCGGCTGCTGGGAGCTTGTTCCCGACGCTGCCGCCCTCCTCAAAGATCTCCCTGGGGAACCTCAACAGCGCCGGCTGCATGGAGCAGCTTCTAGTGCACTGCGCCAACGCCATCGAGGCCAACGACGCCACGCTCACGCAGCAGATTCTGTGGGTGCTCAACAACATCGCCCCCGCCGACGGGGACTCCAACCAGCGGCTCACGGCGGCGTTCCTCTGCGCGCTCGTCGCGCGCGCTTCCAGGACGGGGGCGTGCAAGGCGGTGACCGCGGCCGTGGCCGCCGCGGTCGAGTCGGCCGCGCTCCACGTGCACCGCTTCACGGCCGTCGAGCTCGCCAGCTTCGTCGACCTCACGCCGTGGCACCGGTTCGGCTACATGGCCGCCAACCACGCCATCCTTGAGGCCGTGGAGGGCTTCTCCGTCGTTCACGTCGTCGACCTCAGCACGACGCACTGCATGCAGATCCCGACCCTCATCGACATGCTCGCCAGCCGGGCCGAGGGCCCCCCGATACTCCGGCTCACCGTCGCCGATGTCGGGTGCAGCGGGCCACCGCCGGCGCTCGACATGTCCTACGACGAGCTAGGCGCGAAGCTTGTCAACTTCGCGCGATCCCGCAACGTGACAATGGACTTCCGGATGGTGCCCACCTCGCCGGCCGACGCCTTCACTTCCTTAGTCGACCAGCTCCGGGTGCAGCAGCTGGTCTCGGACGGCACCGAGGCGCTCATCCTCAACTGCCACATGCTGCTGCACACCGTGCCGGACGAGACGGCCGGGTCGGTGAGCCTTACTCAGTCGGTCTCGCTCCGGACCATGCTCCTCAAGTCCATCCGAACCCTCGACCCAACGCTGGTCGTGGTGGCCGAGGAGGATGCCGACTTCACGGCGGGGGACGTGGTGGGGAGGCTCCGGGCGGCGTTCAACTTCCTGTGGATCCCGTACGACGCCGTGGACACCTTCCTGCCCAAGGGGAGCGAGCAGCGGCGGTGGTACGAGGCGGAGGTCGGGTGGAAGGTGGAGAACGTGCTGGCGCAGGAAGGGGTGGACAGGGTGGAGCGGCAGGAGGACCGGGCGAGGTGGGGGCAAAGGATGCGCGGCGCGGGGTTCCGGGCGGTGGCTTTCGGCGAGGAGGCGGCCGGGGAGATAAGGACAATGTTGAACGAGCACGCGGCCGGGTGGGGGATGAAGCGGGAGGACGACGACCTCATGCTCACATGGAAGGGGCACAACGTTGTTTTCGCCTCGGCGTGGGCACCGTCGTGAGCTAGGCGACTTGCGGGATGCATTGCGGTTGACAAGGTGAGTGAGTGTGTAGTGTATGCCCGCATTGCTTGCATGGATAATGTGGTTTAGGGTTGGTTTCTGTGCATGTTCATTATATGAAAGATGGTCCTGTTAAATTAGTTTTTACTACTAGCTGATTCACTGCAGAGAATTGATCTGTTTGATCATTGTAATGATACACTCTCACAAATACACCGTAGAAGAATGAACAAAGGGAACCTTGGATCATTACGGATTCCACTCATGAAAAATGTAGAATGTGGTGTTCTTGAAAAATATTAGAATGATCTTTATATTAGAATGATCTTTATACCGAGAACATGATAACATTTCATTTTGGAGACTGATAAGTACAAATGCCGACCAAAGATATTCGACAAATGAAGCTTTCATCTAACTTTTCCAAATTACAAAGAATAAATTTTGGTAAGTGATCGATGCTGGGGTTAGGGTGAGGAAAAAAATTACTAACTTCCTTGGATGAATGTGGACCTTGCTTGAATCTGAGAGCCATACCCCATATACATTTAAAGGTTTTAAAGATCTCGAGATTTTATTGTAGAAATGTGCCCATGTGTCTTACTTGGAGTACTAGTAATCGTGTACATGCAACACACGACTAGTTTGACAGTAATATTATTTCCTAGATTAACCACAATTAATGTTGGTTCCAAGATTAATTGCTTTTGATGCAATTAATGTCATTTCAAATTCAATTAATGTAATTAACGCTTTTCCAAATTATTGATGATGTGATGAATACATCATTGAAGCAGCGTGAGACGATGGATATAGATGGCTGTATAGTTCTGATCATTTGGATTTACCGGACTCGTGCATTGAGTGGTGTTTATCTCCGGTTTCCTTGCCTATTTCACACAGAAATTAGGTGACATGTGTGGAAGGTACGGTTATATTTTTGCAAGTTGACCGCTGAGGCATAATCTCCGCAATAGATCTGCCTATGCCACCTTAGAACAGTGAATAATACGTAGGTGTGTACTCGTGGGGCAAATGAACACACTTCTGATGCCACCAAGAAGAATCGAATAAAGTCACGACAATTCTTTCCTTCTTTGGTTACTAAGCGGATATTTCAAATTGCAAGACTTCTCGAGATGTTTGATTTGCACCATTATAATACATAGTCCTTCTCCTAAGCGAGTCTATGCAATTTCATTAGGAGAAAATTGTTAACTAAAGTGGCCCTTCTAGTGTAGATTAATGTTCTTTTCTTCCTCTTATGTTTCTACCTTTTTGAAGTGACTAATGCATGTTAACTCTGTTTAAAATGGAAATCTGAAGTCCAAATTGTGGAGGAAGTTTAAATTTTTTAGCGGAATGCTAGAAATTTATTAACTCAAGATGTTGTAAGGTATAGAAAGCCCAACATGTAATTCTGTCAGCAGACACGGCGGCCAACGTATAACTGGAGGATGGAGCGAATTATCCAGTGAGCTTCCTTTTTTAAAGCTCAGTCCTCATGAACAAATGAAATCTCCTGAAATATTTTTCCCGCCTCCTAATCACAACAATTACGTGAACATAGTAGTTCACATCAGCGGTCTTTAATTTCATCGCCACCTATTAACAGTTAGTCGTGGTTGTGATTTTATGTGACCCCAAATCTGTCGTGAGAGCCAGAGCTTCTTGTCACACCATGGACTCCAGGACCTCTAGGTATGTCACCCCCTGAACGAGAGGTGACGAGGGACCCCAAGTATGCTCCAATACAATCACATGCCACCACCAGTCCAAAGATGTTGTTCTTTGCCCCCACCAGCATCAACATTACTCCCTCCTTCCATCTATATAAGGCCTAATGTGTTTTTCGAGGCTAACTTTAACCAAATGTTAGAGCAATAATATATGACATGCAACTTACACAAAGCATACAGTCAAATTCGTATGTGAAAGGAGCTTTCATTGATATAATTTTCACATTATGCATCTCATATACTATTAATCTAGTCAATAGTCAAAGGCAGTCTTGAAAAATGTATTAGGCCCTATATAGATGGAAGGAGGGAGTACGTTTAGCTCCTTCCAAGAGTGGCGTGATCCACCCCATGGGTGCTCAGGTCCGGCGATGTTTACTTTAGGAGCAACATTCTTTTGCTTTCTATTAATCCCCAAATCAACTATAACCAATCGACAAAGCACTTAGTTGAAAAATATCTTCATGGGTCATTGTTCGACAAGCATGCTAGATAGCCCACAGAGTCACCAGCACCTCTAGATGGTCAGTGTGCCTTAGTTCGGAGACCGTCATGAATAGCCATTCCCTGACAGTCTTGCGTACAATACATGAAATATGTACTGTCATTGTTGACTAAAGCACATAAGCTTCTACCATATTACACTCTAACAACGAGTGCTTCCATTAGTTAGCGAGACCAAAAAATGGCACCCATTCCCTTCTCCCTATTCTCATGTTGCAATACATCCACCGCGGGCCGCGACTATTTAGCTAAGCGTCATAGAAACACTCTTATCTTCGAGGATACATCCACTCTCCGCAACAAGTCTCAATTTTCCTCAAGCTAGAAAGAGTGTAAGAACATATCCTATGCATCAACCGGACTGGTGCACCAGATGCACCGGTCGCTTATGGAACGTTTGATGGAGGACAAAAGGACAAGATCCAGCTACAAGATAGGCTGCCGACACATTCACATAAGGCCCTATCACAATTGTATAATGGTCCTCATATTATACATACTGGTGCAAAAACTGCTTTGTTGGGCTAGCTAGCTCTCCCGTGCATTACCACTCTGTAATGCATTCCAACAGTTTGCATGGATGCTAAAAAATGACGATTTCATTCCACATATCTTTATCTAGTCAAATTGTGCTCACTTCTTATTGGATGTGTACTATTTTTTTCCTTTTTTCAAATAAATGTTTTGACAACATGCTAGACCCATTATTGTAGATGTTTAAACATACATAATTAACAACCGAAAATGTGGCATTTCTATCAAAGGAATGAGTTGCATAGCTTTATGTATGCTTTAATTGACATAATTCATGATGTGAAGATTGCATTGGCACAAGCACATAACTACTCAGTGATGGAAAACTTGCATTTTTGACAGCAAAAATACATAACACCATGCAAATATTTGGCATCACAATATTTAGCAGGCACCAACAGAAATAAAAGAACAGAATGATTGAAGAGAGATGCTTGGGGTTGGGTTTGGAGAGATGTTATGTTCAGTTCGCTCAGATTCAATTATAGTACAAGGATCTTTATGTAAATGCACCAGCAGCCCATCTCATTGGTTGATCTGGCCTCTTCGTCGAGTGGCCCACAAGTCCTTGGTGCAGCAGGTGCATAGATTCTCACACGTCGCTAATCATATATCCCGCATATAGCGAGTATAGCATTTATCGCGCCCGCAACGCCATGCATCACAGATGTGTATGGGCCGGAACCGTAAAGTGTGCATTCGTTCATATGGTTGTGATCGTTATTGCGTTCGTTCCGTTTCTTTCTTTTCTTTTTTTCTCTTTTATGCTTTCTTTTATTATTTTTCTTCGGTTTTCCTTTTCTCTTCTTTGTTTGCTTGTTTTTTCCCTTCGTTATACTTTTGTTTTATTTGCTATTTCATCATTTTTTGGTTTTTCTTTATTTTCGTTATACTTTGGGTTTTTTTGTTTCTTTCTGGGTTTTCTACACTTTTTTTTTGTTTTTTTGTTTTGTTTTTTCGGTTTTCTTTCTTTAACACATGTCTATTTTTTCTTAGTACACATTTTGCAATTTTAGTGCACTCTTTAAAAAAATTAATACACAGTGGACATATTTTAAACACATGATGCACATTTTTTTAAATACATGTTAGCAACACTTTCTTGAATACACAGTAACATTTTCCCAAATATTTGTTGGCATATATTTGTAATGAAAATAAATATTGCTTTAAACAACGTGAACATTTTTTTACATTGTATAAACAATATTCAAACACAAGAATATTTCTTTAAAAAAATCATACATTTTTTTAGTGGTAGGAAACATTTTTTATTAGACAAACATTTTTTACACTGTATACACGTTTTAAAAGAAGCACATATTTTTTTGAAACACATGAATGTTTTATAATTGTCACGAGTATTTTTATTAAAAGCTTTCAACATTTTCAAAAATTGTGTTAACTTTTTTTACTATGTTAACATTTTTTAATTTCATCATTTTTCAAAAAAATCTAAGTAAAATTTTAAAATATACCATTTAAAATGAAAATAAATATATAAATGGAAAAATAATGAAAATAAAAAAGACATTTAGCATGATAGCATCATGAAATGAGCATCACCAAACCCGGTCCCTACTTGATTGGCCTATCACCGGCTCCTGTAGGCAGCCGAGCGTGCGGGGCCGCCCTGCCTCACTATAACCAAGGTATAGCCGCCAGGCACAATTACATGTCAATCCAAGCGAGAGAAATACTTCGCTTGCGTAAAGTGGCGTGATAATAGGTCAGCCCAGTAGCACTTAGTTTGTTCGTTCCTTGATTTCGATTCTATTTTCTTTTTCCTTTTTTCTTTTTCTTTTTCTTTTTTCTTTTTTCTTTTTGTTACATTTTCAAATAAAAAACATAGGTCTAGTGCGAAAATGTTTGTGCAGTGTTAAGAAAATGTTGGTCCAACTTTAAAAATAATGTTGATAACATTTCAAAAAAAATTGTTTCTTGACATATTAAAAAAAAACAATTAACATATATACGAACAACAATGTTACAAAACATATGTTTGAAAAAAATGTTAATCATGCATTTGAAAAATGCTAGGCGTCCATAAAAAAGTGTTTATAATGGATATTGAAAAGTACAACATGTATGAAAAAAGGTAGAAATTAAAATATACATATGAAAAAATGTTAATCATGTATTTACCAGATGTTGAACGTGTATAAAAAATGTTCCTGATGTATTAAAAAAAGTACAATGCATATGCAATAAAGTTGACATCAA